ATGTAGTGATGACAAAGTTGTTTTTGAAAACTAAGTATTTAGAGTGTGTTAATAGTAAAGATTTTAAATTAATAGAGCAGGGACACGATGTTTTTGAGTACGATTCTTGCAAACTGCATCAAATCACACAATTACTAATTACTTTATAGTAATTTTTGTGTAACTGATAGCTATCAACGAATTTAAATTCCGTGTCCCTTACTGTAATGATAGAAGACAGATTTTTCACTGGATTACAGTAACTGATAATCTGATCCGAGAATCGACATGTAATCACGAGACTGGAACGGAGTGATTTGTAATATCAGGTTACACGAAAGCAATTTTAATACGTACTGCTGACACTGATTGATATTACATATCAGTGTAGTACAGCAAGTTCTTTTGCACCATGACTTATTACACGATGAAATCAAGTTATTTTTCTTACTACCACTTATATCTTGTAAGCATTTTTAAGTTTATTCGCAATAAAGGTATTTGCTCTATTTTTCAAAACTTATGAATGTTTTCGCATGCAATACATACATACTGATAACATATTTAGTGCAAGAAAGGAAAGTTCACAAACTTGCAAAAAAGTGTGGTAAAAGTAAGTTAAATTAAATTCTTTATATGTTTTATAAATATTAACTGATATTTCTACGTTAGCTCCTGAAAATCTTCCTACCATTCTACAAAATCCTGATATTGCCGCTCTTGCTCTAAAATATTTAAAAGCAACCGACGAAATGCTGGCACTTGTATTTGATTGGAATAATGCAGGCTTTAATGATACTGCAGTCCCAAATTGTCGTAATGGTATTGCAGGAAAAACCAAAGCGGCTATAGTTGCAAATTTAGTTGCAAATGGTGCTACCGATTTTCAAAATATGAACGTCTTTTTTATATTTCGCGATGGTAATGCAATTGGAGTTTGGTCTCGTAATGTTGCAGCAAACTTGGCTTGGTATGAGATTATTGTATTATTTATATTCCAGGTTCTTTGGCATTAGTTTATTTGCATTATTCTTTTTCAAAGGGCAAGAGACCAAGCTGGCGTTCCCAATATCTGGAATGAGGTTATAAGGATTAATAAAGAAATGCCATGCACAGGTAACGTGGATCTTGAAGATTTTTCATGCGTATTTTAATTAGAGAAAAAAACGTATGCATGTTATTTCCAATCTTTCAATCATTAAGGTTAGTTTACACCTTCATAATGATGAAGTGAGGATATTTAAATCTAACCCCAAAAATCTTACTTTTATTAAACTGTGTTAAAATAGAATAAAATCGGATTTCTTGCTCTCATTAAATATCATGCTTATTCAATATTACTTCAAAATTTTGATATTCACTAGTTCATAAATATACAGAGATCTTCACATGTTACATATGCACGTACGTGTACTTATGATCTTGGCAAATTATGTACAGTACGTACAGACGTACTAGGGTGGTAACTAAGTAAATCAACACTATATAATTTCTTTTGAGTGAAAGCTCTTCGTAAGAATTATTTTTAAAAAGTCACTCTTGCCTTTATAGAATTTAAAAATGTTAAATATTTCTTTTATAATAATTTAATATGAAATGTAAATCCCAAAATTTTTTATTATAACTGCACTATGTTTGGAAATCAACCGATAGAATACACCCCAATAAACTATCTATCGTATAACGTGGACTAAAATATATTGAATAAAAATAATAAGAATGACAGTACAGTATGGTATGTTAACCTTTTTTACGGTAGTATCGTTGCCGAAAGCAATTGAAGGAAAACGGTGTTTCAAGTTTATTGCTTATCGGACTCAATCTATCTCATTTGTTAGGGATTGTAAAACTATAAACTTGAAATCCTGTTGACAGGTTTTTTTCCCTTAGTATCACCTATATTAGTTTACTATATAATAATAACGATAAATAATTTTTATTACTTTAAATGTGTAATTGAGACATGCGATATAATGAGAGTCGACTGTTTACATTTCATAGATGTGTCAAAATAAATGAAATCAGAAGGTCGGATTATCAAATGACTGAGCCCCGATTGGTGGTTAGCGAGTTTGGTATTTACAGTATACGTATACTCGTATTGTATTGGCATCTTTACTCCACATTCTATACAATCCAGCACCAAAGGTTCCAATTATTTATTGCATTACTATAAGTATATCGTACTATTTCGAATTTTATATAACACGTACAGTCGGGATTTAAGGCGCAGTTGCACTTCAATTTTTCGAATTGTAAGGATACATATATAGTGTGATATATAAAAATAATTTCGTTGATTAGAGAAATAAAAACTTCACTACGTTCGAGGCTTTGGATATTCAGTCATAACATGAGGCTTGTTGGCCGAATCATGATAACAGCCTCAATAAACAAACGCGAAAGTCATAAGCATCCGAGAAACTAGAGAAGGATTAAGCTAAGGAATGAAGAATATAACGTAAAATTTAGTGGCTGTCACTGCTTATAATGAAATAGTAAAGCGAAACTTTGTTTAGTGAAAAAGCACCTTTCTTCACAATAGAATAACGTTAGAGAAAGCCTTTTCTCCTTACCAAAAATGAATTTTCAATAAGTTTTGGCTATGGGTTGAGTAAATTCAGTGTTAAAAATGAGACAAGAATCTTCGGGTCAAATAAATCAAATACAAATAAAACTAATAAGTCCCTAAAGATTTTAATTCTAAATATTGTGCTAAATCACCCCCGTCACGCCTCTGACGAATTGCCTAAATTTGGATCCGTGAATTATTTTCCTCTCATTTGTTAAGTTTATGTTAGTAACATTGTACTGTATCATATCATTTCAAATTTTATAAAATACAGTACACTATATATGTATATTCAAATTTAAGTACTGTACAGTAAATTTAAAAGAAAATACTATATGAAACTTCTACACCCAGTTCACTAAAGACATCTATATTATTGGCTGTTTAAATCAATTTAATTTTACATTTTTTATACGACTTAAAGTCCTTTTTTAAAAAAAAATTAAAATTACAAGGAATAAATAAAACAAGGTATATAGAAAGTTTTATTAGAGTCGTAGGACTCCACTATTAAAAATAATCAAGTTCCCTTATTGTTTGAGAAGTTACATAATAGTGACTTCTGGAAATATAGATAGAATTAGGTTATTCTCATACTAACTTCTCTAAAATAAAAGAGGATTTTGATTATTTTTAATAATGGAGTCCTACGACCCTAATAAAACTTTCTATATACTTTTGTTATTTATTTTTTTTTATTTTTTGTAGTTTGATTTTTTTTTTTAAAAAGTACTTTAAACTGTATCAAAAATATAAAATTAAATTGATTTAAACAGCCAATCATGAAATTCCTTCTATGAACATCCCGGTAGAATTGTGTGACGAATAATAGAACTTTTGCGGCGCAATTAACGCTCGCTATTTACATATTATGTTATAAATAACGATAGGCTTACCCTCATTATTTGATGAACCTATACCTCAGAGATAAATGTGACAACTAATTAATTGGCCATATTCCAAGGAGGTATATACTCATTTCCTCGACTGTGTTACGAAATTTTTCGTATAAGATTTTTGTTATTACATTTTTTTGCATACGTAATACTTTTATTAGTAATAACGATTACTACATAATTACTTTCTTAAAAATTGGAGGGTTAATAGAACTATATAAAGGGTCATTGATCGACAGTTTTCTTTTTTGGGAATTTCACTTGAGTCTGTATCCTTATATTGTACGTACCTTTGATTAACCAAGTACCTTAGCCATGAGGTGTCGGGTCATGTGATTTCCGGCGCTCCGAATGATAATCTACCAATCAAAATTCAGGATCTCGTGTAACGTGAAATTTTACGAAAACAACAAAGTTTTTTATTTTGCTTATGAAACCATCTTCTGCGTTCTAATTAAAAAAATTCCATACAAAATTTAACTATAGAGTAGGCCTTTCCTAACCCTAAATAGGTGTTTGTTTTTTTTGTTTATGTGTTTTCTTCGATTGTTTTGATTTTTAGATATTAGACCGAATGCTTCGGAAGTCACATGACCCGACACCTCGTCTTTGCCATGGCTATTAACCCGATCATAGCACCCACCCCTATTATTAAATTTATATTTTTTTCGCTAGTATTGAATGCCTTAATGATTACGGCCAATAGCTAAATTGACATCGAAGTATTAAGTCTCTCCCTTGATCGTAACAACAGCCATTTAATCTACATCAAATAGCATTTACCTACAGCAATTTAATCTACATCACATAGGGTTAGAGTTAGCATTTTATTATTTGCAAATATATATTGTTAGTGAATTGTCACCCATGTGATGTAGGTTAAATGGATTGTGAGTAGATTAGCTGTAGGCAAAATGGAGTGTTTCTTTGCAAGGACAGTATTTGACCGGTAGCAAGTGCTTCATTGTTAGTATGTGTAGTTTGTGAATAGCTCATGTATGAAAAGCTAAAGCGTTTAATTAATGTTGGTAAAGGGCTTGGATTTTGTCTATAGGAATATTAATGTTTCTATCGATTCGATGATAAAGATTTTACGAGACTATACTAGACTGATATGAGTATTTTACACTTTTGTTTCGCATTCATTATAGCATTATTTATTACTGAAAAAATTAATTATCGCTGTGATCTCCCCATTCGGCCATTGCAAGAATGTTATAATTAGATTTCATAAAAGGTGAACTTTATTATTCTTTCAATAATGTTTCTTATGGTCTTCAAATTGCATATTCTCTATAGGCATGACTAACTATAAGAATTCGCAATTGCAATTCTAAGATTGCAGTATTTCTCATTTCTTGTTGCAGGTACTTGATGATATAAACAGACTTTATTGATGATGTTACTGCTTTTGCCTCAAAAAGAGTGCAGATATCTTGTAAATCTTGTACAGTAAATAGTGAAAATATCTTTAAAGGGTGATATCTTCTCATAAAAAATTTTTGAAATTGGCAAAATTTGTCATGTAAAACCATATATAAAAGATATTGTGTTGTCACGTCTTTTATTGAAGTCCCATCGCCTATTGATGATGCATCGAATTGTTAGAATAATGCACAAGGATATCATGCAAAGATGCACTAAATAAGAAACTTCAGAACCGTGAATTCTTGCAATTAATCATTCCTATAGAGAATAGAAAATATTAAAAGAATATCAAAAACTACATTGAGCTTTTCCGTATTAAGTCCTTTTTTGATTCATAAATCAGAATAAGGGGATTGCAATGACAGTCATTTCCAATACTGTCTTGTGCTTTTATATAGCAAAGGTATCGATTTGTGAGCAATAAAACCTACACGATATACCGGTAAGAAATGGAATCTAAATGAGACAAAAATTTAGATAGTTCATATACTATAGTATAGTCGCGAAATAACGCACTCACGTTATTTATTATTTTGTGATGCTTAAATTATCAAAATTTTAAATCTGATGTGCATACTTCAAATACATCAATATATATACCAGTACGATCATATGAGTAACATGAAATTTGACTTATTTACGCCTGTAACGTAAACCAAAAAAGAGAATTATAATTAAAAACTTAGCGTTAAAATGTGTAGTTAATTTTCAAGGTTAGTTGTTAGGGTAAGCCGTAAAAACTAAGCAAAAGCAGGTTTGATTTGCAAAATTTCATTTCCGACGCCTTATTCTATTCTTTGAATTTATCGATCTATTCCAAAATTAGGTATGTAATAAATTAGGTATGTAATAATGCTTAAATTTATTTGCTGATGTTAAACATTTATTTAATATAAAATATGTCTAAATCGATTAGTTGGAAAGTTGTCAGTTAGTTGATTTTTAACTAAACAATTCGGATTACTAACTGTACGACGATATTTAGATTAATTAATAATGCTGTTTTTAATACACCTTAATCATAAAATAGTTTGCATTGAAAGTTTTTTATTTCTTTGAACTTGGTAATATTCCTAAAATGAAAAGCACTCATTTTACTTATTCATCTTGTTACCAAAATATGAATTACCTGAGGTACACAGGTTGCTATAGGATATCGATAAGCATATTTTATGTTGATCACCA